CAGTTTCAGGAGATTTTGGGCTGAGACGATGGTGTCTTCTAGATATACAATCATGTCGTCAGCAAATAGAGACAATTTGACTTCCTCCGTTCCTATTTGAATACCCTTTATTTCTTTTTCTTGCCTGATTGCTCTGGCTTTTTTTGTTTTTTTGACACAAAGTCTCTGTTGCCCAGGCTTGAGTGCAGTGGTGCAATATCGGCTCACTGCAACCTCCGCTTCCTGGGTTCAAGTGATTCTCCTGCCTCAGCCTCTCAAGTAGCTGGGATTACAGGTGCCCACCATCATGCCTGGCTAATTTTTGTATTTTTAGTGGAGACTAGGTTTCACCACATTGGCCAGCTGATCTTGGACTCCTGAACTCAGGTGGTCCACCCACCTCGGACTCCCAAAGTGCTGGGATTACATGTGTGAGCCATCATTCCCGGCCTCTGCTTCTTATCTTGTTCCCCTCCAAACCTGCCCCTTCAAAGGGGCAAAAAGAATAGCATTGCTCATCTGCTTATAATTCTTTTTCTTGCCATAATTTTTAAAAATTATAAGTTCTGGGGTACACATGCAGATCGTGCAGGATTATTACATAAGTATACGCATGCCATGGTGGTTTGCTGCATCCATTCCCCCGTCATCTACATTAGATATTTCTCTTAATGTTATCCCTCCCCAATCCCCCCACCCTCTGCTATTCCTCCCCTAGTCCCCCCACCCCCCAACAGGCCCCGTGTGTGATGTTCTCCTCCCTATGTCCATGTGCTTATAATTCTTAAAGGCTCCCTGTAGCCTTCAGACTGAAACTCAGCTTCTTTCTTTCCCTTAATTTGGTTGCTAGCCCCTCGTGGTGTCTCACCTACTCCTCAGGCTCAGAAACAGTCATTTTCTCTCTATATTTTATTCCAGGAGACGTCAACATGTAGATTTCCCCTTGGACATTTACTGACTCAAACATAATGCTAAGTGCTTTACAGGAATTATCCAATTTACGTTTTCACAACAGCTCTGTTAGGCTCTCTTTTATTTGAAGCCAGGTATGCTTGCTTGGAAATCAAGCCCTTGAACTCTATGGTAAACTCTCTCTACTTGAAGTTTCCGAAATGCACAATCTCCTCTCTGGTGCTTGGAATCTTATACTTGCTATGTCTTCTCTCTATCTCTGCCTTTTGTCTCACTAACTTATACTTCCTTTTCAGGTTCAGCTTTAGACAGTTTTCCTCCCAGGAAGATTTCTCAAGACTGGTTTTCGCATGTCCCTCATGGACTGTAAATTCTTTGAGGGTTAGAACAGTGTCTTGACATCATGTTTCTTTTCTGAAGTGAAAGGCATTTGAGTACCACATCCTCCAACCTCACAGGTTCTCTTTGAGCTCTCATCCTCTGAGAGGCTATGAGTTTGCTGAGCTCTTACTGCCACATATGCAGCCATATACCAAAAACTGGACCCAGGTAAGTGAGTTTGTCATGATGGGCTTTGCTGGCAGCCGTGAAGCACACCTCCTCTTCTTCACACTCTTCCTCACCATATACCTGTTCACCTTGGTGGAGAATTTGGCCATCATTTTAGTGGTGGGCTTGGACCACCGACTACGGAGACCCATGTATTTCTTCCTGACACACTTGTCCTGCCTTGAAATCTGGTATACCTCTGTTACAGTGCCCAAGATGCTGGCTGGTTTTATTTGCGTGGATGGTGGCAAGAATATCTCTTATGCTGGCTGCCTGTCCCAGCTCTTTATCTTCACCTTCCTTGGGGCAACTGAGTGTTTCTTACTGGCTGCCATGGCCTATGACCGTTATGTGGCCATTTGTATGCCTCTCCGCTATGGGGCCTTGGTGTCCTGGGGCACCTGCATCCGTCTGGCAGCTGCTTGTTGGCTGGTAGGCTTTCTCACACCCATCTTTCCAATCTACCTCATGTCTCAGCTGACATTTTGTGGCCCAAATGTCATTGACCACTTCTTCTGTGATGCTGCACCCTTGCTAGCCTTGTCGTGCTCAGATGTCACTTGGAATGAGACTGTGGATTTTCTGGTGTCTCTGGCTGTGCTACTGGACTCCTCTGTGGTCATTGTTGTGTCCTATGGCAACATTGTCTGGACACTGCTGCACATCCGCTCAGCTGCCGAGCGCCAGAAGGCCTTCTCTACCTGTGCAGCTCACCTGATGGTGGTGAGCCTCTTCTATGGCACTCTTTTTTTTATGTATGTTCGGACCAAGGTGACTTCTTCCATCAACTTCAACAAGGTGGTATCTGTCTTCTACTCCATTGTCACACCCATGATCAATCCTCTCATCTACAGCCTTAGGAACAAGGAGGTGAAGGGAGCTCTGGGTAGAGTCTTTTCTCTCAAGTTTTGGAAGGGACAGTGAGGAGGCAGATGGGAACCCAGTTTCCTTGCCTTGGATATTTAAAAAGAGGTTGGTCAATAACATTTAAGTTGAGACCAAATCAAGAATGCAGTTCCATTTATAACAGCCACAAAAAGAACAAGACCTAGGAATACAACTAACCAAGGAGGTGAAAGATGTTTATAAGGGGAACTACAATACACTGCTAAAAGAAATCAGAGATGACACAAACAAATGAAAAAACATTCCATGCTCACAGACTGAAAGAATCAATATCATTAAAATGATAATACTACCCAAAGCAATCTACAGATTCAATGCTATTCCTATCAAACTATCAATGTCATTTTTCACAGAACCATGAAAAGCTATTCTAAAATTCATATGAAAGCAAAAAAGGATCCCAAATTGCCAAAGCAATCCTAAGCAAAAAGAACAAAGCTGGAGGCATTACATTATCTGACTTAAAACTATACTATAAGGCTACAGTAAACAAAACAACATGGTACTAGTATAAAAACAGACACATAGACCAATGGAACAGAATAGAGAACCCAGAAATAAAGCTTCACATTGCTACCAACTGATATTTGAAAAAGTAGACAAAAAATAAGCAATGGAGAAAAGATTCCCTATTCAATAATAAATGGTGCTGGGAAAACTGGCTAGCCATATGCGGAAGATTGAAACTGGACCTCCACTTATCACCATATACAAAAATTAACTTAAGATAGATTAAAGACTTAAATGTAAGACCTCAAACTATAAAAAAGTCTTGGAAGAAGGCCTAGGAAATACCCTTCTGGACACTGGTATTGGGAAAGATTTTATTACTAAGTTCTCAAAAGCAATTGCAATGAAAACAAAAATTGACAAATGGGACTTAATTAAAGAGCTTCTGCATGGTAAAATAAACTATTGACACAATAAACAGGTAATCTACCAAATGGAAGAAAATATTCACAAACTATGCATCTGGGAAAGGTTTAATATCCGGAATCTATAAGGGACTTAAATCAACAAGAAAAAAACAACCCCATTAAAAAGTGGGCAAAGGACATGAACAGACACTTCTCAAAAGAAGATATCCAAGTTGTAAACAAACATATGAAAAAATTCTCATCACTAATCATAAGAGAAATTCAAATGAAAACCATAATGAGATACTATCTCATACCAGTTAGAATGGCTATTATCAAAAAGTCAAAAAATAACAGATATTGGTGAGGTTGCAGAGAAAAGGGAATGCTTATGCACTGTTGGTGGGAGTGTAAATTAGTAAAGCCACGTGGAAAGCAGTTTGAAGATTTCTTAAAGAACTAAAAATATAACTATAATTCAAGCTAGCAATCCCATTACTAGGTATATACCCAAAGTAAAATAAATTGTCCTATAAAAAATGACACATGCACTTGTATGTTCATCATGACACTATTCACAGTAACAAAGAGATGGAATTAACCAAGGTGTCCATCAATGGTAGATTGAATAAAGAAAATGCAGTACACATACACCATGGAATACTATGCAGTCACGAAAAAGAATGAAATTGTATTATATGCAGCAGCATAGATGTAGAGGGAGGCCATTATCCTAAGCAAATTAATGCAGAAACTAAAAATCAAATATTTCATTTTCTCACCTGTAAGTAGGAGCTAAATCTTGGGTACATGGGACAAACATAAAGATGGGAATAAGAGATACTGGAGACCCCAAAAGGAGGGAGAAAGGGAGGGGCAAATGGCTGAAAAACTGTCTATTGGGTACCATGTTCCTATCTGGATGACAGAATGAATAGAAGTCCAAACCTCAACATCCCACAATACATCCTTGTAACAAATATGCACATGTACCCCCTGAATCTAAAATAAAAATTGAAATAAAAAAAGTAAAAGAACAGTGGTGAGGACTATGGAAGGGGGCTATGGTCTGAATAGTCAGGAGTTAAGGACTATATATTAGATAAAGTAAAATGTTAAGCTCTATTACAAGAGAGACTTAACTATAGTGTTACTTAAAGAATGAAGCAGATTTTTTTTTTTTTCTGGCGAGAGTCCAAAGTGAGGGTTCCAGGTTGGTGGGTGGCTCTGTTCACCTTTAAGGATGCAAGTTCATTCCATCTTGCAGGATCAACATACCCTAGGATACTGGCTAACTGGCTAAGAAGGTTCTGCTGGCCAAATCTGGCTCAGCACTTGCTTTTTTAATGGGCTGTGGACTAATAATGGTTTTTACATTTTTAAATGGTTGAAGACAAATTGAAAGAAGAATACTACTTCATGACACACACAAGTTTTATAAAATTCAAATTTCAGTGCCCATAAATCAAGTTTAATTGGAAGAGAGTCACACCCATATGTATCATCTGAGGTTGCTTTTGTGCTAATGGCAGAGTTGAATGTGGTAGTTGTGGCAGAAACAATTTGCCAACCCTTGTTTAAAGCCTCTTGTTATTTACATGGTCAACACTGGGTCCCAGTGGGAAAGAAGGGTGAGAAAGAGCATGGAGGAGACACGCTGTCTGTCTTAAGGTTTCCTTCCTTCCTTCCTTGCTTCATCCCTCCCTCCCTCCCTCCCTCCCTCCCTCCCTCTTCTTCGTGTGTGTGTGTGTGTGTGTGTGTGTGTGTGTGTGTGTGTGTGTGTGTGAGAGAGAGAGAGAGAGAGAGAGAGAGAGAGAGAGAGAGAGACAGGGTCTCACTCTGTCACCCAGGCTGGAGTATGGTGGCATGACCTTGGCTCATTGCAACCTCTACCTCCTGGACTAAGCAATCCTGCCACCCCTGCCTGCTGAGTATGAGTAGCAGGAATTACAGGTGCATAGCACCAAACCTGGCTAATTTTTGTATTTTTTGTAGAGATAGTTTCGTCAGGTTGTTTCCCAGTCTAGTCTCAAACTTCTGGCCTCAAGCAATCTGCCCACCCCAGCCTTCCAAAGCACTGGGACTACAGGAATGAATTAAGATGTCTTTTTAAAATTATTTGTTTATTTTTAATTTTATTATTATACTTTAAGTTCTGGGGTACATGTGCAGATCGTGCAGGATTGTTACATAGGTATACACATGCCATGGTGGTTTGCTTCATCCATCCCCCTGTCATCTACATTAGGTATTTCTCCTAATGTTATCCATCCCAAATGCCCCCACCCCCTGCTATCCTTCCCCTAGCACCCCCAACTCCCAAAGGCCCCAGTGTGTAGTGTTCCCCTCCCTGTGTCCATGTGTTCTCATTGTTCAACACCCATTTATAAGTGAGAACATGTGGTGTTTGGTTTTCTGTTCTTGTGTCAGTTTGCTGAGAATGATGGTTTCCAGCTTCATCCATGTCCCTGCAAAGGACATGAACTCATCCTTTTTATGACTGCATAGTATTCCATGGTGTATATGTGCCACATTTTCTTTATCCAGTCTATCATTGATTGGCATTTGTGTTGGTTCCAAGTCTTCGCTATTCTAAACAGTGCCACAATCAACATACTTGTGCATGTGTCTTTATAATAGAATGATTTATAATCCTTTGGGTATATACCCAGTAACGGGATTGCTGGACAAATGGTATTTCTGGTTCTAGATGCTTGACAAATTGCCACACTGCCTTCTACAATGGTTGAACTAATTTACACTTCCACCAACAGTGTAAAAGCATTCCTGTTTCTCCTTATCTTCTGCAGCATCTGTTGTCTCCAGATTTTTTTGATGATTGACATTCTAACTGGCATGAGATGGTATCTCTATGTGGTTTTGATTTGCATTTCTCTGATGACTAGTGATGATGAACATTTTTTCATATGTTTGTTGGCTGCATAAATATCTTCTTTTGAAAAGTGTCTCATCATATCCTTTGCCCACTTTTTGATGAGGTTGTTTTTTTCTCTTGTAAATTTGTTTAAGTTCCTTGTAGATTCTGGATATTAGCCCTTTGTCAGAAGGGTAGATTGTAAAAATTTTCTCCCATTCTGCTGGTTGCTGGTTCACTCTAATGATAGTTTCTTTTGCTGCACAGAGACTCTTAAGTTTAATTAGATCCCATTTTTCTATTTTGGCTTTTGTTGTCATCGCTTTTGGTGTTTTAGTCATTAAGTCCTTGCCTATGCCTATGTCCTGAATGGTTTTGCCTAGGTTTTCTTCTAGGGGTTTTATGGTGTTAGGTCTTATGTTTAAATCTTTAGTCCATCTGGAGTTAATTTTTGTATAAGGTGTAAGAAAGGGGTCCAGTTTCAGCTTTTTGCATATGGCTAGTCAGTTTTCCCAACACCATTTATTACATAGGGAATCCTTTCCCCATTGCTTGTTTTTGGTGGATTTGTCAAAGATCAGATGGTTGTAGATGTGTGGTTCTAGATCCTTGACAAATGTGTGTGGCATTACTTCCGAGGCCTCTGTTCTGTTCCATTGGTCTGTATCTCTGTTTTGGTACCAGTACCATTAGATGTAGCAATCATCACTTCCACTCACCTCTTTGGTGAAAAGTGAGCCTTAGGTCAAATCTAACTGCAAGGGGAGTAAAAATAGTCCGTAGTTAGGTAGCCAGTTGCCCAGTCACCATTTAATTATTGTAGAAATAGGAAACAACAAATTGTAGTAGACAATCTGCAGTTTCTTGGACAAACTAAGTCCCCGGAATAAAAGCTGGTTTTTCATGTGATCCATGCACTTAACCATGCACTTAATCTATATTTGCTTATTTGATACATACAGCGTTCCCCTATATCAGTTGGTGTTTTGGAAATTAAAGAAGATCTTTTCGGTATTGTCAGCTCTTTTGAAGTAAGGCTTAAAAGGACAATTACAAGGCAGGTAATTCCTTACATGCAGGTAGATGCATTTAAAAAGACATTTATAATCATCATTTCAATGTGGATTCCAGAAACTACAGAATGTGGAAGAGGAAAATGTTGAGCTTGGGACTGAATTGGAAGGAAAGACAGATTTTCCTCAGCTGGACAGTAATGAGCATATTACATTATGGTGCCTCTCATCATCACAGACTCCCTGAACAGGATCTGAGCTGTTACATTTTCTATAGTTAACAGGAAGGGCACATTTTGAAAACCATTTCATGTATTGACTATTGTATCAGTGCTTTAGATTCTTTTGGATGAAAGCAAGATGCAAAAACAATGCAGAGGTAAGAAACTTACCAGATCAAATATAATAATCCATGTGAAATAAATACAAGTAATATATAAACATACTTCATTTTATTATTTTTGTGTTATTGTGATTCACAGATAATTGTGTGTGTGTGTGTGTGTGTGTGTGTTTTACAA